ATTCTAATTTGTCTTTTTATGGGTGCTATAGGTTTTTTGTGTCCTATCTTTAGTTGGCAGGTAATTGCTTGATGGTCAGATGTTGAGTTACTATGGGTTTTTACTTCAAGGTCCTCCTTGTTTGTTAGTAAAGCAAAGGTCTATACAAGTTTTTGTGGTTGTTATTCTGGTTGGGGGTAGTTCCGATGGTTTCAAGTTATGTTCCGCTAATATATTTAAAAGAGTTTTTGTTTCAGTTTCGTTATCTTTAAATAGGTCTATGTTTAAATCACCCATCACTATTATCTTTCTATTCTTGTGAGATATTGTGGAAAGTAAGTTTGAGAAATTTTCAAAAAAAGTGTTCAGGTTCAGGGATCTATATCCACCAATAATTACAGTCTTGAAGTCGGGTAGTTCAATCCCTACAAGTTCTGAAGATTGTTCTTCACAGAAGGTGAGCGTATTGATTTCTCGGATTTTTAGGATGTCGACATTGTTTTCTTTGCAAAAAATTGCTATTCCTCCCCATCTATGTGTTATTCTTGAGAATTCTGTTATTAAAATGTAATTTGGAATGTTTGTTATTTTTAGGTTTTCTTTTTTTTCACCATGTTCTGAAATTATTAGAATGTCTGGATCGAGGTTTTGAATTTCTAGTTGTAGCCTGTCTATTTTACTCTGTAGCCCTCTCTGGATGTTTAGGTGATAAATTTTTAAGGTAGGCCTATCAGTCATATCTGTCTTTTTATGCGGTTTTGAGTTGGAGTTATTGGTAGTTTTGTTCCTGATGAGTGTAGGTAGTGATTTTAAGTGGGCTATGCTTCTAGGGGTATTTGTAGAGTGGTCTCGTTTGGGTGTTGGGAGTCTTCCTTTGCAGTTTGGTAAGTATTTTTTGGTGTCTCGGTTTGTTGGTTATGTAGTGAGTGGTGTGCTGCTGTTTCAGTAAGAGTCCCATCTTCCTTAGGTGTCATAATTTGATGGATGTCATTAGGCTTAGGGGTTTCTGTTTGTCTGGTCAAGCCTCCCTCCGTAGTGTTGTCCCCTTCTGGAATTTTTTTGTCCTCTTTCCTGGTGCAGTTCTTTTGAGTAGGCCTATTTTCTTTCTGGTTATTCTCTGATAGAGTTGGTAGGCCTAGAATGTTGTTCAGGTGTGCGGTCAGCACTTTGTTTCCTTCGGTATTCGGGTGGATACCGTCGCTTGCATATAGGTTTTGGTTAAAAGTTGTAGTAATATCTATAAAATTAATATTTAGTTAGTCACACATGAATTTTAAAGCTTCATTCATCTCTTCGATGTAGGTTTTTGGTGCGTCCTGTCTATGTAGTAAGCTGTGTACATACCATTGGGTGTTTATTTGGTGTTTTTTTTTGCATAGCTTCGATAGTTAGCCAGTAGGGTCTCATTAGATGGTTCGGTGTAGGGGAGTGCTGTACATTGTTTGAGCCTACGTTGATGATGACCTTTAGTGGCAGCTTACTTCGAGCGCTAAGGTGTCTACTGATGTCAGCTATTTCAATAGCTACTTCAACTAGTACCTGTGACTGCTTCAACTTCAAGTCTTTTGTTTACTTTTTCCTTGTTATTTAATTGAACCAACATGGTTACTTAGCAACCCATAAGACTAATGTTAAAAAAATTTGACTTTCAGTTTTGTTTTTCTACGTAATTAGATTTTTGTTGGCAGTTCTAACTGCATGAAACTCGTTTTTAGGCCAAAAATAAACTATTTACAAGATTTGAAGAAAATCGTCAGAGCCGTTTTCGAGATCTTTCTGCAAGCAAGCAAGCATACGTACAAGCAAACATTGCTCGTATTAGAGTATAGGATATGGATTGAACAAGATAATTGGAGAAGGTCTTAATAAGTTTTGCAGGAATGTTATCCCATCGTCGAGAGGAGCATCCTTTTATACTATTTATGATATTTACTAGTTGATCTTGGTTGATCCGCTTCAGCTCAAACGAGTAGCGGGCATGGCGGGGATCCTCCACCTCGGGCGGACCCACTGGATTAATAGTCGGCCCTTTCTTTCTCATCAGTTTTAAAAATGTTTTTAAGATGGATACACCTCTTGCAAAGCTTTTTCTTAAGATGAAGAAAATTCAATTTGAGAAATATATTTGGTTAGCAGGGAATCCCAGTAAGATTGTCTTTTCAGTTGCTGAGTTCATCATCGCATATCAATCATTAGAGGTTTACCTTAGGCTGAATTAAATATTCTTAGTACAGTATATTTTACAGCTTTTCCAAAGAAACAAAAACCAAGGCCTACCTAATTAGAAAAGTAGGTATTGAAATATCGATGTTTCCCTTACCTAAATTGTATTTAGTTTTGATGAAAATGTAAATGTTGGTCTCAACAAGAAATTGCATTTTTTTATGTCTTTATTCTATTGAAAGGCTGATGAAATATCGCGAACTGAACTAGACTTAGAAAAGTGTAGACTGAGTGAGATAACTATCTACATTTGTGTGGTGCTTGTTCTAAATGCTACCTAAAAACCAATTTATATTTGTAATAAATTTCAGTGGCAGCACTCCTGTTCTCCAGCATAAATTACACATTCATTTAACCCTAGCAGTGGCCGATCGTCGTCTGGTGACGGTCTGACGTTGATGCTTAGAATGGCCAAAGTCGTCTGGTGACGATCTGGGCCGAAATTTTTTTAGCGGTAAAAAAAACACTTACAATCAACTTAAATGAGAATAATATATATACCATTCGAAAGATCACATTCTGAACTTTCATTTTATTACATAAACAAACCCTGTAGCAGGTATATAACAATGACACGACGATTAGAAATCAAATGAATTTTTGGTGCGGCACGACTTTTGCAGCCGACACTTGGGAACTGGCAAAACACGTCTTGTTTGGCATTACCCTGCTCGGAAAATTTTCGTCGTGGGATGTTGCGGGTGGTACCACTGGATAGCCATTGATTTTATCTTCATTGTGGTAGTAATATTTAGAACAAAATATTGATTGCACAACCAGTACGATTTTATGAAAACAGCTGTTTTCGAAATTTTTAACAAATGGCCAATGGTCGTCAGGTGACGATGTAGAAAATACGAATTACATACACTGTAAGTTATTATTACTAGTCATATAATATGTCATTTTGAAGAGGAAGAAATATAGATTGTGAGAGTGGCAGCCCTGCGCTCAGGGTTTTTTACGTCTGCTCACATATGAAGACGACGGAAGTGAGTCATTACTGCTACAGCTGTCTTGTGTATTCGCCATTGTTTGTTGTTGCCGTGAGTGTTCGCTCTGGTGTTATCTGCGATTTATTACTAAATACGTTATTAGTTCGTAGTGTTAGTGTTAGTGAAGTTTGTGTGTGTGTATAACAGTATTCTTCATGCATTTTATTATGCATAAATATTACTGAATTGTGTGAAATAGTGTTCATAAAAGGTTATATTTTGTTAGCATCATGTCCTAAAATGACGATTCTGACATTCAGAGATTGTTGTACGAGACGGACCTTAGTTCGCCATGCTATATATGCTATATAATGATATACCCAAGGTGTTATACATTTTTATAAAGGTAAATGAATACACTACAACATGTTTATAATGGTTTGGGGGTAAACAATTTTGTAAAAAAGTTATAGGCCTAGCCTACTGTATTTTGTTAGCATCATGTCCAAAAATGACGATTCTGACATTCAGAGATTGTTGTACGAGCTATATATGCTACATAATGATTTACCCAAGGTGTTATACATTTTTATAAAGGTAAATTAATACACTACAACATGTTTATATTGGTTTGGGTGTAAAAATTTGGTAAAAAAGCTATACTAAATACTGTACACTCCATTTTCTCGAAATGCGCAAAAAATTCAAAACGTTCTGAAATTGACACATAATCATAGGTGAAAATAACTTTTTACCATCATACTAATGACTTTTTTGGATTCCTTACTTCATTAGCTTTACAAATATGTACATATCATCAGCCTACATAATGTTTTACAACACAAACAAACACTGTATAGTTTACACTTACCTATTTGAGGTTTTGCGGTTATTGTATTATTATGTCCCTATTACGTGACACCTACAAAAAAATATTTCTAACATGTTATAAATTTTTATGTAGGTAATTGAATACACTACAAGATTATTATGTTGGTTTGAAGTAAAAAAATTTGGTACAAAAGTTGTATACTAAATACTGTGAATTTTTTTTCTCGCGAAATCGCTAAAATATAAAAACATTATTTTATATACGTATGTTTATAGGTAAAAAATTATTTTTACCATAAACTTTATGACTTTTTTTTATTCCTTACTTCATTAGCTTTACAAACATGTATATATCATTATTAGTATACACATATATTATATAACTTTTTACAACATAAACTAACACTGTACGGTTTTCAATTTTTTCAGTTCTCCGTTTGTCAATATATTTCGCCCCAAAAACTTATAATAAAAAATAAATATTTTCCTAACATGTTATATATTTCTGTGTAGGGAATTAGATTGTCTACATAATGTATATAATGAATTTCCCATAAAAAAATCCGTTGAAAAAAAATACCGAGGCCGCTTTTGAAATTTCAAAAAAAAAATCAAATACTTGCACGGTTGAATTTTTACGAATTTTCAAAAAAATGTCTGCAAAATCACCAAAATGGGTTGGCCATTCCCCACTTCTAACATTGGCCACTGCTAGGGTTAATACAGATATTTATTTGTTCTTGCCTATGTGAAAGAGAAACTGCTAATCTAGAACATCAAGCTAGCAGCATAGACTAACCAACGCAAGGGAGTGTTTAATCAGTGCTAGTAGAGTGTGCTAATAGGCCTAGGTTAATTAGCTGAGGCAGTACAGAGAGCACACAAAGAAAACTGAAAAAAAAATGTACATCGATGGTTGACCAACCGATGCTCATCCCTAGCTTTTGTGTACTTTCTCTATACCTCCTTGAAAATGCCACTTATGCGTAGACAATGACAAAAAGACTAAAAAGGTGTCGAGAGGATACTTACCTCAATATTTCCTGTCATATCATATTTGACTGGAGCAAAAACATTGCCCAATTGATCTGAAAATAAATGCTACAGTTAAAATGTTGTTCTTCTAATAAAGAATTAGATAGGCCTACTTGGTAGATAGGCCAGTCAAATTGGACAATAAAATCACAAAGCGTGACGTATTGCTGCATTGCTGAGCACAGGGATCTCTAAGCTGTAACTTGGTTTTGAGTTACCCTAACTGGTCCCAACCACATATTAAAAATGCAGTAATACATCACGCTTAGCGATTTTAGCCTCTTTTTATGTAGGCCTACAAGTTGACTGGCCTAAGAAAGCTCTAAAGTAATATAGTTTTTAGTTATTAGTCAAAAGGAATTAAGAATAGCCATAACTTCATTTGAATTTTTACAAATGTAGAACAATAATCAAATCAAATCAAATCAAAACATCTTTATTTTCCTTACATGTACATGGGTACAAAAATAGTGTCAAGTATAAAGTACTAAACTAGCTTAAAGATATAAATACATTTTAAGTATGAATAGGTATTTATTCAATGAGTTCCTCCATTGTATAAGGCGCCTTTTCTATTAAATGTTTTTTTAATTTAGATTTAAATAATTTATAATTTGATTCCTCCTTTATAGAGGCAGGCAATTTCCTTAGAATTAGTGATCCAGTAAAAGTTGGTTTTTTTTTGAGAATTCCAGCTTATAGGTTGAAGTTACAATATCCTTTTTATGTCTTGTATTGTAACTATGTGGCACAACTGGCTCATATTTTAGGCTGTCTCTTTTAGCTATACATGCTATTTCAAAAGTATAACGCTGCAAAAACTGTTAAAATATTTAGATTTTTAAAGTGAGATTTAACTGATTCATCTTTTTTAAGGTGTAACATAGTTCTAATGGCTTTTTCTTGCATGATTAGAATTTTATTTAAATTTTTAATCGTAGTTGCCCCATATAGTCCAATGCCATAGTTTATGTGAGAATGAATATGGGCAAAATATATTTTTTTAAGTGCATCTAAATTGTACAAATAAGACATTCTTTTCAATGCGTACCCTCCAGAATTAAGCTTTTTTAATAATTTTTCAACGTGTTTATTCCAACTTAGATGTTCATCTACATAGAGACCTAAAAGTTTGGCTTCAGAAAGTTGTTCTATTGATTCTGAATCAATGATCAAATTGGGTTCAAGTTTCTGTTTACTTTGTTTAGTCGAAAAGGACATAAAGTTTGTTTTTGTTGCATTAAGATTCAAATTATTATTTTTTAGAAATTGTTGTATATTATACAATTCTACAAAGGCCGAAATTTCCAACTCCTCTTTACTTTTCCCCGCCACTGTTAAATTTGAATCATCTGCATATAAACAAATCTTACTCTTTTGAGGATTAACAATACTTTTAGGCAATTCTTTTATATAACATAAAAACAAAATTGGTCCCAAAATTGAACCCTGTGGCACCCCCCACTTAATTCTACGTTTATGAGAGTTAAATGTAGTTAAATAATTGTTTTTGTTTGATTTTATTTCAACAAATTGCATCCGACCATCCAAATAAGATTGAAACCATTTTAAGGGGACTCCCATTATTCCAAGACTTTCCAGTTTCTCTAGCAAAATTGAATGACAAACACTATCAAATGCTTTAGAGAGATCCATGTATATCCCTAGAACATTTTCACCGTTTTCAATTGATTCTACGATGGACTCAATGAAGTCAGTAGCTGCTGTTATTACTGATCTTCCATTTCTGAAACCATGTTGAGAATTATCAAATAACTTATTTGATTCAAGATAATCTACCAATCTAATGTACATTGCTTTCTCGTATACCTTTGATACAGCAGGGAGCAATGAAACAGGTCTATAGTTAGATATTTCAGTAACTTCGTTTTTTTTATGTAAAGGAATTACCTTTGCAATTTTTAGTTGATGCGGAAATAAGCCAGACACAAAAGAGGAATTCACCAAATGTACAAGTGGCTTTACTAATAGGTTCCCTACATATTTTAATAATTTAGTTGGTATATCATCATAACCACTAGACATTTTATTCTTAAGTGAACCAACAATTCTTTCCATTTCCTTATCATCTACAGGAGTGCACTTAAATATCCTACTTTCAAAAAGCCCTTTTAGCGAATTTCCCTATAGGGAAGTAGCTATTACCGTAGGTGGCACGGTAAGACCTAGACCCGGGGACCGATTTACTTTTTCATTTTGATGTCCCCAGAGGCCAAAAACACCATTCGTTCAAATTTTTATATATGTATATATATATATATTTATAGACTTATATATATATATATATATACGTCCGTGAACGCGATAACTTGAGTAATTTTTGTCCGATTTTGATGAAATTTGGTTTAATGGTGTAAAGCGGGATAAACTTGAATGAGTTCGCGAACCAGCACGATCGGACCATGGGAACGGGGCTTTACGGGGGGTTTTATGGGGTAAAAATTGGTTTTTCTCACTTTTGACCCTCAAAACACAAAATTTCCCGATTTCTCTTTAGACCTTTTTAAAGAGCTTAAAAAAACTAATAATTTAGTATATAAAAGTATTTTTGTTCGATTATTAGTAACGGAGAAAATTAAAAAAATTGTAAATTTAAAATTCCCATGTTATTCTTATGGAGAATATTGTCAAATGTTGTGCTTGTTTATGGATATATTTTGATCAAACCTGGCAAATTTATTTATTTTGTACTAAGCTATCAATATTTTACTCAAAAACACACTTTATTAGTTTCCTTGTAGCAGCAAACCTAGGTACTCGTTAAACCTAATGTTATTAAAATATATTTAACTGAAAATCAATTCAGACAAATGGAAATTCGCTTAGTCGGCAGGTTTGCTGTGGCGGGGGTATTGTTTTAATTACATCGCTAACTTGATTAGTTGTTCCTCTATTTTTATCTAAAGGTTGCCTAACACTAAAGCTATCTACAACATCTATAAAGTAATTATTAAACATGTTTGCAACATAAGTAGGATTTTCAATTAGTTCATCATTCAGTCGAAGACTAATATTCTCTGAGTAAGTGTTTTTTTTGTTTGAAACTTCATTATTAATTATTCTCCATGTGGTTTTGTTAATGTTACTTGAATTATGAATTTGGAAATCAAAAAACTTCTTTTTACTCTCAGTAATTTTTTTTATTTAATATTTTTTTTTCTTTTATTTAGTTTAGAGAAAGTACATTTATTTTGTACTTTTCTAGCTATTCTACTCATTTTTATAATTTCCTGTTTTTCTTGTTTAATTTCTGGATTTATCCAGGATTTCTTTGTGTTGTAAATTTTGACAAGTTTATTTTCAAAACATAAATTGAAATAGTAAATTAACGTTTTGTGAAAAATATTGTACTTTTCTGTTACCGGTGCTAAATAAACATCATTCCAGTTTTCCTTTTCCAGCATTTGATAAAATTGGAGCTTATTTTCTTCTGAGAATTGTCGGGATTTTTTAAAAATGTAATTGTTTTTTATACATGTATCTAAAATATTTATTTCTAAGATTTGTCCATCGTGATCTGAAAGCTCAGTTATGACTCCTGTGGTCTTTAATTCATGGGTTGGAATGTTTGTTAGAATGTTATCAATAGCCGTTACTGAGTTAGCTGTGACCCTTGTTGGAAAATTTACTAAAAATTTCAAACCGTGAGATTTTAACAAATTATCAAAATCCTTGCTTTGTTTGCTGTTTACTAAAACATTTATATTAAAATCTCCTACTATTACCACCTTTTTGTTTTTTGATAACACATAGTCACATAGAATACCTAATCGACTTAAAAATTCATTAACACTACTTGCAGGTGATCTATATATACCAACCAAAAGAATTTCATCCCCTACAAAAAAATATTTTGAACAACAGAACTCAAACACTTTTTCTTCCCTTAACACTTCAATATTAGCATAGTTCACCTGCTTCCACTTTAAACCAAGCTTAGATAATATCAAAACACCTCCACTTTTAAATTTTTCCCGAGTGTAATCTGAATTTATCATAAAACCGTTTAAATTAAATCTGCTCAGCTCATCAGATTTCATGTTATGCTCTGATAAGACTAAAATGTCAGGTTTAATCTCATCTAGAACTATCTCTAACCCCTCTACTCTTGATACCAAATTCTGAATGTTTTGGTGAAAAATTGTAATTTTTTTATTTTTTACCATGACCGAATTATGTTAATTGGTCTCATTGCTGTAAATAAAGCCTACACTTAAGGAACAGAAATAGTGATACAAGTTGAATATTCATCCTACTTAAATAAAATGTGCTTTATTACTTCTTCAACTCAGTAGGCCTACTCGTGAAATCCGCAACCATGCAGATTACAATAGACAGACAAGCGGAAACGCGTAGTAGTCGAATGCCCAGGAGAGGGGATGAGATTAGTAGGATCAGTCATGGGCGAGTCGAGGAACATGGAAGACACACCGTCAAGGGATAGCACTAAAACGATATGTTCTGGTTGTAGAATACATTTGATATGTGTTATAATTCTTTTATAGGAGGGAGGGGCTAAGGGGTTAGGGATCTATTACCGTAAAATAATAATTATAAAATATTATATCTTAGGTTGTTTGGCTCTTCTACAAGACCGATTTTCAGGATTGAGGTCTCAAATTGAAGGTGTACAGGCACAGAAAAACATAAATTTGATTTATTTTCAAATTCTGACTTCAATTTAAGATGTATTTCACCAGTTATAGGCCATGTAATTATATAATCCTATATATTTTTGTCTAAGAACCTTCAGTTACATACTGGCTTTCATTTAAGCTAATTAGGCCTAGTTATTCAAATCGGACGAGTTTCTAGCAAATGCAAGGTGAACAAACATAAAAATTATTTTTTTAAATGTTTTTCTATAAAAAATCAAAAGCTAAGTTATGATTTTTTAGCCTATGTATTTTAGACTCAAAATAATCAGTAGGCCTAGCCTAAGTTTTAGGCTTTAATTTGAGCTACCGGTATTGATTGTTTGAATCAGTTAAGTTTAAGATACTATATTACTCAATCAAAAATCATAAATTTTATTATTTCTTGGATATGATATTATTTTAACGCTGCGTAGCAGCATGGGTCCTCTACTGTAAATTGAAATAAGTAACTTAGCACCACTTGTGCCCATCTGACATGAGTGGCGAGGTATCACTTCAATCTTATTTTTTTATATAATTCGTAGCATGTATTAAATTAATTAAATCATCGAAACGGCTCTGATATAGATGTGGCTTGGCTCATTGTGTTAAAAATATTAAATAGGCCTAATATAAATTAAATCTCAGAGATGTAGCCCGAGTTCTCTTTAGGAATTGATTGAGCCATAAAACGATCCTCATGAGCCCATTAACGCTACACAAACAAATATTTAGCGTCTGCTATGAAATCCTGAATATCACTAATGTAAGATAGGTCAGTTTCCCAGACTATGGTAAGCGTTTCTACTCCGAACAATTTACAACTTGAAGTTTACACCACTGCTGATAACTAAAATAACTTTGATGATATCTGTCTTGATAGGTAGGTATTCTACTGGAGTAAGTTAGTAACTTAAGTTAAATAAACAAAAGAAGAAGTTTAAATAATCGTTGCACTTGTAATGAAATATTAAGGAAGACCAAGGTATAGGGAAAAGAAAAAACTTAGTAAAAATACCAAAGCACCAGAAAAAGTGCTCGGTGAATTCCCCCAGGGAAAAGTAGGCTAGGCCTAACTTACTCAGGGAAAGTGCTGAGAGAAAAGTGCTAAGGGCTTTGCCTGAGGACCGGTACTAGGTACCTTCCCCCACCCTCAAAGCTCTTCCCGACCCTATTTAAGGAGTGAGTTTGGTGCAGTTGAGAGGCGTGTTGAGCCCCGGCACCCCATACTATGTGCGTGGTGAGCCCCGGCACGCCCTAACTTACTAGAGGCGTGCTGATCTCCATTTTTCATTCGGTTGTTTGTGCCAACTGACACGGAAGTCTACCCTTCCGTATCTGTTGTCAAAAACAACCGAATGAAAATAAGTTATCGATCGTTATAGGCCTATTGAATAATTTTTCATTCGGTTGTTTTTCACAACAGAACGGAAGTGTAAAACTTACACCAGATTGTTTATAGGAAAAAATAATACAATTCAATACAAGTACTAAACCTACCAACCAAACACACAACTCCTCTTGATGCTTCTAAAAATTGAAGAGTATCGATTTTTCCATCAATTGGCTCAGGAAATGGAGTCTGCACAGAATTGAAATAGTTCTTGAACTCCTCAGATGGTATCCCTCCATTTGAAGCTGTCATTTTAACTCACAATTTAAATAAAATACTAGCCGCTATCAGCATTCAACAAGAATGGTGACAGAATGAATACACAAAACAGTTTTGATTATGTAATCGGTAAGTAGTTATGTTTGGTTGGTGACACAAAATGTTTAGAGTAACGTTCTCTGTGTTAAATTAAAAACATAGTGTTAAATGAATGATCGATACTAGGCCTATTTCAATAAAAAATATATTTGTATAAATTAACTTAAACGAAATTGTAATTTTGATAAAGAACAACAATAACAATGGTTATGTTATCTTTAAAAAGAGGTTTTAGGTTAGATTTTGTGTGAACACACTGACCTGACACTACACTAAACAAAAACAAACCATTAAACCAACCTTATGATTTGACAATAAAGAAAAACAAAACATATGCTCACCTTTTTTTGAGCTAGGTAATCATGGCTTTGAAACTTTCCATGAGGCTAAAGAAAGGCAAAAGTTTAACATCATAATCCCACTCCATTTTCATAGATTTAACTAATAGTCAAAGATTAAACTGAACATTATCCACTTCATTAGGATACCCCCTTGTATTATCGAACACATAAGCTTCGACTAATATAAAGTATATACATACATAGTAACTAATATATTTGTGCCAAAAGGAAAAGTAAGATAACCTTATCTTGATCATGTACTTATCTTGATATATACTTATCTATCTCTATACTATTATAAAATTGAGGTGGTGCACGGCCCCCTAAAAGGTGGCCGTGGGTGGTGTCAGTCCGGCTGCCACGACTAAAATATACTAAACCGACACGACACAGCCCAAATTAAGCAAAAAGATTGTCCAGTCCACATACCAAGGAATGCCATAGGACTAATCACTTCACTCGTTCCCTGAGTTCCTCTACTAGGGCTACGCCTTTTGAGTGTAAAGGCGGCCGTGCTTAAATGTCCATAGTTTTGAGGTGAGGTTTTCAAAAATAAAAATATTAATTCGTCTCCATGGAAGCATTAGAAAATTCACAAACTTTGTTTACCTTTTGAGTTGACATTTCAATGCAAACAGTCAGAACTGCTAAATGCTCGGTGGGGCACACGGGAGGGACGATGGCTAACATATCTTGTAGTGTCAGCGTTCGCCTCTAGAACCGCTAAGTTGAAAAAATTGAAATTAATTTTATAATTTCTAGTTATGAAATTAACTTTTTAATTATAAAATTAATTTTACAATTTTTAATTGTAAAAATAAACCGTCATAACCTAACCTAACCAACCAAACTTGCTGATAATATAACAAATATATAAGATAAAAATCTAATGAATGTTCACTTATAATTTATAATAAAAAATTAATTTTAAAATTTAGTATTATAAAATTAATTTTAAAATTTAGTATTATAAAATTTAATTGTCATAACCTAACCTAACCAACAAACTTGCTGATAATAAAAAAAAACAGATAAAAATCGAATAAAGGTTTACTATTAAAAAAATCTGTTCAAAAATAAAATTATAAATGCATCAAATTCTAACAAAAGATGTACAGTTAAGAAGTAGTCGCATTCAAAGCAATATCTTTGGCAAAAAGATAGTGTCCCCAACTGGTTTCGAACCGGGGACCTCCTGAACAACAGTCCGAATCGCTATCAACAATGCCACGAACGCCGCTGGAAACACGTCGTCTCGTTTACGGTAATCGTGTTATTCGTGTTGCCTCAAGGGAAGACATTAGCCACTATAGATATGACGTCACCACACCTTTAGCCATCGTCCCTCCCGTATGCCCATTCGGCTAAATGCTTATTCCACATTTTCAGACAGCTGACCCAAACAAATTATAAAATAAAATACTAGTTGATCCATACTGCTCCACAGCGTTGAAATAAATATTACTAGTGTACATGTTGCTCGAAATCGAGCAATCGCAAAGAAGTAAAGGAGTTATTCAAAAACAAATAACTTATTTATAAACAAATATAAGTCATAAATTCCGATGAGTTTAAATAAAAGAGTCAACTCAGAGATTACGTAACTAATGATAATCCCACTCACAATGTACTTAACAGTTGAATATAATCAACATTTCTTGTAAATATTTTATCATTTTTCAAAAGCTGATCTGGCTTTTAGTGTATTGTACAAATGTTTCCCACTTATAGCCGCAATAGGTTTTACATGTTGGTCTTTGTCAATGATAATGTGTCTGCATGGTATCACCCATTGTCGCCAGTACGTTTAAAAATTTCATTCTTTATTTTAATAGCACCAAATAACCATTAACTAATACCTGATTTTCTGCATAACCTCTCTGTCACAATTTTACAATTAACATATGCTCTTCTTCTCACTTTTAATTTCTGACAACAGCTGGAGTTTCATAACAATGTTTGTTTCCCATGTTAATCTTATTGAGAAATACCATAGACAATAGACTATTTATTTTTGTCTATGGAAATACGAAACTTTAAAGGGCCCCAGGGCCTCACTCTCTAGTTATTTCCCAGTTTCCTGCACAGCACAACTTCACGTTACGCTCTTTCCAATGACACCAAAAACATGTCAATCGGTTCAGTAGTATCGGAGGAGTAATTGTCACAAAAAACCTGCTTGGTATTAAATAAGTACGAGAGGTCGTCCAGTGGTCGAAACTCGACCAAAAATATGTAATGTACTCACTTCTCTATTTTCACCCCACACTGTAAATAAAACATGTGATTGGAGTTTCTTCCATTTGTTTTGATTTTCTGTTTATATTTCGTTGTTATTTCGTCACCAGCATGGCAACGCATAAAATCCATGTTAATTTTTTCAAATTTTCAATCTCATTTTTTTTGCTTATCTTTGAGCCTATTTAAATTTATAAAGGGATTCTGCACACCTACAGGAAAATTGCTTTCTAACGGTATGCGCAGATTTACCCCACGATGCACACAAGCTGAGAAAAAAGGTTTTAAAGAAACATGCTTGCCTATTAATATATAGACGAGAGGTCGTCCAGTGGTCGAAACTCGACCAAAAATATGTAATGTACTCACTTCTCTATTTTCACCCCACACTGTAAATAAAACATGTGATTGGAGTTTCTTCCATTTGTTTTGATTTTCTGTTTATATTTCGTTGTTATTTCGTCACCAGCATGGCAACGCATAAAATCCATGTTAATTTTTTCAAATTTTCAATCTCATTTTTTGTGCTTATCTTTGAGCCTATTTAAATTTATAAAGGGATTCTGCACACCTACAGGAAAATTGCTTTCTAACGGTATGCGCAGATTTACCCCACGATGCACACAAGCTGAGAAAAAAGGTTTTAAAGAAACATGCTTGCCTATTAATATATAGATAGAATAGATATCAGAGAAACAATCAAATTTATGATTTCTGATAACTGTAGGCCTAATAAAGTATCTTGAACCTATAAATAATTCAAGCAATCAATAACTCAAATTACATCCTATAACTTTTACTGATTATTTTGAGTACAAGAATATATAAAAAACTAAACAATAATGGAACTGATTTTTAATCATAGAAAAACCTTATAAAAATGGCTTTTTACGTTGATTGTTCACCTTGCGACGTGTTTGCGTGAAACTCGTCCGATCTGAATAACTAATAAAAGGAGTATGTTTTATCTTTGAAATGAAAATAAATGAAATGAAATAATGTTTATTTCCCAACTGAAAAATACAGTTCATGGTATTTTACATAATAAATTACACAATCCTTGACTTAAAAATAACTTACAAAATAATATTAAAAACTGAATGGCACGAAAAAGAAATACCTTATCAACTTATATGGAAATTGTCTACATAGGCAGGGCCTGTGCGTAGACATGAGTTGCGGGTAATTTGTTTAGTGAGTGGGAAAATTATTTTTGGAAATAATTGTTATCACGTCTGGATATAAATTTTGTCTTGCTTAGAACTGGACTACGATATTTTTTGAATATGCTAATAACTTTGAGACAAAGCGAGAGCACAGAAAACGTACTACTATACCCAGAATGCCAACCGCATGGTAAAAAGCATTAAGCGGTTTGAGAGAGCTTTGCCTGTCAATCCGTAGGCAGCGCCACCAGCGTTGCCATGCAATAGCATAGCAACGCTGGTGGCGCTGCCTACGGATTGACAGGCAAAGCTCTCTCAAACCGCTTAATGCTTTTTACCATGCGGTTGGCATTCTGGGTTATAGTAGTACGTTTTCTGTGGCGAGAGTGAAGAACATGGTTACCTCACATGCGATCTATGCCGATCTCTCGCCCAAATTACTCTCTTAGCGAGAGTGTACTGGTACCATAAAACAATTGAGTGCGGCTCCGCTTGATTCGTAATCCAACGGGGTTTCAAAAACATAAGATGAAGCAGAAAGTGTTTTATTTGAAATATCACATTCATTGCCTGCGTTGAGTGACGAATCAAACGTTCTCTCACATATAATGTCACACCACAATACCAAGAACTGATTTTTTCTTTGTTAACATTTTAGGCGTACTGTCCGGAGTGTGGGAACTGTTTATGACGATTATACAGTATTAAGGAATCTGCAAACCTAAAATGCCGTGGGAAGGGAGGGAAACAGGTCCGCGTCGTAAGAAGTGGTGAGGGAAGTAGTCAAGGCGTACTGTCCGGAGTGTGGGAACTGTTTATGACGATTATATTAAGGAATCTGCAATCCTAAAATGCTATAGGAAGGGAGAAAAACAGGTCCACGACGTAGGAAGTGGTGAAGGAAGTAGTAAATGCGAGCTGTCCGGAGTGTGGGAACTGTTAATTAGGATTAGATTAAGGTATCTACAATCCTAAAATGCTATGGGAAGGGACGGAAACAGGTCCGCGTCGTAAGAAGTGGTGAGGGAAGTAGTCAAGGCGTACTGTCCGTAGTGTGGGAACTGTTTATGACGATTAGAAGGAAGGGAATCAGGTCCGCGACGTAGGAAGTGGTGAAGGAAGTAGTAAAGGCGAGCAGTCTGGAGTGTGGAAACTGTTTATGACGATTAGATTAAGGTATATGCAATCCTAAAATGCTATGGGAAGGGAGGGAAACCGGTCCGCGACGTAGGAAGTGGTGAAGGAAGTAGTAAAGGCAAGCAGTCCGGAGTGTGGGAACTGTTAATGACGATTAGATTAGGGTATCTGAAATCCTAAAATGCCGTTGGAAGAGAGAGAAACAGGTCCGTGACGTAGGAAGTGGTGAAGGAAGTAGTAAAGGTGAGCATACTAGAGTGTGGGAACTGTTAATGGGGATTAGATTAAGGTATCTACAATCCTAAAATGCTATGAGAAGGGAGGAAAACAGGTCCATGACGTAGGAAATGGTGAAGGAAGTAGTAAGGCTAGCAGTGCAG